CCCCCCCGGCAGCAGTACTGAGCTATGCAGTTTAGGGACTCGTGAAAGCCACACCCAGGCTTCCACTCCCCACATTCCCTGTGTGGCTTCTCCTGCACTCTGAATCCTGGCAGTGGTGTGGTCTTCCTGTCCGCCTTCAGCCCAAATGTTTCTGTGGAGCCCTTGGGAGTTCAAGACAAATAATTCCACAGGGAACCTGAGGAAATGTCTTCCATACACTTCATTCTCAATGCCAAGATGAGCAAACAGGGAAAGAGAGCAGGATAGGAGTGTTTGAGGTGGGGCTGCTCTGAAGGCAGGCCCTGTCCTTTTATTCTCAGTGCTACTCAGGCCTCTCTGGGTAATAAAGTAAGGCATTTAGGATTAGGAGGAACTGTTAACATTCAACATCCGCCGTTTCCATCCCATCTGCATTTTGCCCTGTGCTGCGTCACTGGGTGTCTTTAGCAGAGGTGGTTCCCTGTGGCCTCTGGGTTGCTCAGGTCACTCCCCCCGCCTACTCCCGGGTTTTAAAAAATGGTAATTAATTAATTTGGAATAGGTAATACATTCATATGGTTCAAAATTCAAAATATATAAGAGAATATGGTGAAAAGTCTCCCTCCTAAGTCATCTAGTTTCTCTCTGGTAGTATTAGTTTCTTGTGTATCCTTCCAAAGATAGTCATTGCAGATATGAGCAAGTGTGTGGTGATATGTGTACATAATCTTTTTTTTCTTTAACAGAAGTAGTAGCATACAAAGCACTGTTCTGTACATTTATTTAATAGTGTTTTTTTTTTTTTTTTGGTGAGGAAGACTAGCCCTGAGCTAACATCTGCTGCCATTCCTCCTCTTTTTGCTGAGGAAGATTGGCCCTGGGCCAACATCCGTGCCCATCTTCCTCTACTTTATATGTGGAATGCTGTCACAGCACGGCTTGATAAGTGGTACATAGGTCTGCGCCTGGGATCCAAACCCACGAACCCTGGGCTGCCAAAGTGGAGCGTGCGAACTCAACCACTACACTGCTGGGCTGGCCCTTAATAGTGTGTTTCTGAAGAGATTCTATATCAGTTCATTAAGTGCTACCTCATTCCTTTTTTATGGTGATAGGTATTCCATTGACTGGATAGTTAATAATGTAATCTAACCAATCCCCTACTGATGAGCATCTGCGTAGTTTCCTTCTCTTGTGATTACAGGTAGTGCCTGGGAAGTAACTGTGGACATGCATCCTTTCGCACATTTACAAGTACACCAGCTCTCCCTTATTCTTCCCCCCACCCCAAAACCCCAGTAGATAGTTGTATATCATAGCTGCACATCCCTCTAGTTGCTGTATGTGGGACACGGCTTCAGCATGGCCGGAGAAGTGGTGCATTGGTGTGTGCCCGGGATCCGAACCTGGGTCGCCAGCAGTGGAGCGCGTGCACTTAACTGCTAAGCCACGGGGCTGGCCCTCTTCCTTATTCTTGAAATAAAAGACCCCTGGGGCCGACCCCGTGGCTTAGCGGTCCAGTGCGCGTGCTCCGCTACTGGCAGCCCAGGTTCAGATCCCGGGCGCGCACTGGCGCACCACTTGTCCGGCCATGCTGAGGTGGCGTCCCACATACAGCAACTAGCAGGATGTGCAACTACGACATACAACTATCTACTGGGGCTTTGGGGAGAAAAAAGGGAAAACAAGGAGGAGGGTTGGCAATAGATGTTAGCTCAGGGCTGATCTTGCTCAGCAAAAAGAGGAGGATTGGCATAGATATTAGCTCAGGGCTGATCTTCCTCACAAAAAAAAAAAAAGACCCCTGTGCTTCATACACTCTGGTGTGCACCTTCGTGTCAGTGTACATGAACACGTGTGTGTTTGAGAAGAAATCGATTGAGTTGGTCTCATTGCCTCAGTGGTTGATCTTTTGCCTTAGCATTGAGGAAACCAAGTGTAGGAGGTTACATGGTATCTACCAATCACTTTGGAACAATCAGGTTACAAAAGATTCTTTTTCTTCTCAATTTCCCAAACTTTCTAGAATATATAGTTTATTTTATTTTATTTTTTTGCTGAGGAAGATTGGCCCTGAGTTAACATCTCTCTCCATCTTCCTCTAATTTGTATATGGGACGCTGCCACAGCATGGCTTGACAAGTGGTGCATATGTCCGTGCCTGGGATCCTAACCTGCGAACTCTGGGCTGCCAAAGCAGAGCACGTGAACCTAACTATTACACCACTGGGCTGGCCCCTATAGTTTTTTTAAAAGAGCAAGATAACAATAAAGAGAAACAAATAAGTAAAAGATATTACATCATAAACTAAGTGGCCTTTTTTTCTTTAATGAACATTTTATTTTTGCATAATTTTAGTTTACAGAAAAGTTGTGTAGTACAAAGAGTTCCCATATACCCTGCACCCAATTTCCTGTATTGCTAACATCTTACATTATAGTACACTTGTCACAACTAATGAACCAATACTGATACATTATTATTAACTAAAGTCCATTCTACTCAGATTTCCTTAGTTTTTTCTTTTTTTTTTTTTTTTGGGAGGAAGATCAGCCCTGAGCTAACATCCATGCCAATCCTCCTCTTTTTGCTGAGGAAGACTGGCCGTGAGCTAACATCCGTGCCCAATCTCCCTCCACTTTATGTGGGACGCCGCCACAGCATGGTCTGACAAGCGGTGCCTCGGTGCGCGCCCAGAATCTGAACCCGGGCCGCCAGCAGCGGAGTGCGTGCACTTAACTGCTATGCCACAGGGCCAGCCCTCCTTAGTTTTTTCTAAGTGGACTTTTTTGAAAGTTAGACAGGAACTGGAGAAAGGCCTGGCTGCTCCTCAGAAAACTGTGTAAAGTGGAAAGCCCCAGAAGCTGTCCTTGTTTTAAACTTCTCACTGCATTTCAGTGTTCGCTCTCTTCTAGCCTTTGGACTAAATGTCTGCCACGCAGGGAAGTGTCAGCTCTCACCTAGGGTGGAGATGAGAGATGGGGTGGGGTGGGTGGGAGTGCCTCAGCCACTATCGAACCTTGAAAATTCCTTTAAATATTTTACTTTGTCTATTCTTAGGAAACTCTGAGGAAGGCTGAGTGTGTTCAGAGGGGGTTTTTCCTACTGAGGTTCTATGAGGAAGTGGTCACTAGTTGAGCCTTACAAAGGAAATTCTATCATCTCTTACTGCTTGGAGATTGGAGAATCCCCAGGTTGCTCCAGAATTTGGAGCCTTTGAATTAAAACTGTCACATTGTAGGGTGTCTTCCTATAAGACATAAAGATCTGTCCATATGCCATTTCTTTCTCCAGCAAGCGGCTGGATTATGTGAATCATGCCAGAAGACTGGCTGAAGATGACTGGACAGGGATGGAGAGTGAGGAAGAAGAAGATAAGAAAGATGATGAAGAAATGGACATTGACACTGGCAAGAAGTTGCCAAAACGCTATGCTAATCAAGTGAGTAGTCCAGAGAAGATTAGGCCCAGCTAGTCCCACTGCATTTACTGTGTAGTCAGGGCCCACTGAAATAAACTTTGTCATAAAGAGAGGAGGATGAGGGAGGAAAAAGAATGGGAACTGCAACGACAACGCTGATGTGCATAAAGTTTATGGGGTGAAGAGAAGAGATAGCTTACAGTGCCGTGTGCTGACTGGGGATCACTGATGGAGTCTGTGGGTAGTGGGTTTGGGAACCAGTACCTCGTGCTGTTACTAGAGGCTGCCAGCCTGCTGCAGAAGGCCCCTGCGCTATTGATATACTAACAGATTCCATGCACTTATTATTACTTAGGTAGTCATTGCACAGCTGTTCTGGATCGGGCCTGCCCAGCCCAGCACTGCCCCTACCCCACCTTCTAGGTTGGTACTCTTTCCTAAGTGGTGGACTAAGATGTCAGTCTTGGATCTTCACATTCAGATAGTGGAAGGTGGGAAGTACAGCTGCCCTTGAATGTGAGGAGCCCACCCAGCCACCCCTGGCCAGCCAGTTGGCCTGTATGAGGCTGAGGCCATGAAACAACAGATCACTATGACAGACTTGACTAAGTGCCCTGTTGTTCCAGAGAGGAAACCACTGTGGCCTATAGCACTATAGGGGAAGCAGGCATGGAGACTGTCCAGTACTCTAGGCAGTCCAGGTATTCCAGAAAGCAGCGTATGGGAGTCCAGGTGGGGGTAGGGGTCTACCCTGCTATTGTATACCTCTCTTTATAACCCAAATGTCTTGTCACCTCAGAATCCTCTCCCATCTTTAGAATATGGTTCCTGGGTGCACACACTCCCATCCTCTTTTTCTGCTCCAAATACAGCACAGATAACATCTTCTCTGACAAAGTTCAGTTCAGTTCTGTTCAGCAAGTATTGTTGAAGGCCCTGCTCTGTGTTAAGCTAGGCTGTGCTGTGGCGAAGATAGACATAGGCCAGAAATAGCACCTGCACTCGTGGAATAAGTGTAGATTATGGCTTTTGCTATAAGAAAGTGAGATTAACTTCCAACAGGGAAGGAAGCAGGCTTGCGAAATCAGGAAGGGGTTAATGAAAGAGGAGGCAGCTTTGAAGCACGGGTAGGACATTGACTTGCAGAGGTGCAGAGTATTCCAGGGCATTCCAGGCAGCAGGAACAGGCTAAGCAAGAGCCCAGAGGTGGGAGAGGAGTATATGATGTGTTCAGGAGCAGTGTGCAGGCCAATGAGGATGGGGCAGCATACGTTTGGGGGAAGGAGTACAGCAGAAATATGTCCAGAGGTTTAGACTAAGATTTAGATTGTGGGGAACCCTTGAGAATTTTTGAGGCAGGGACAGAGTTGGGACTTCGTATGCTGACACCCACATCAGTCTGTAGAAGGGCCTAGAAGAGAGAGACTGGAGGCAGCTTAGGTCTGCTAAAATGATCTGGTGATGGGTGGCGAGAACAGTGAAGGTGGGAAGGAAAAGAGGTCATGAGTGTGAGAAATGTCGACAGGTAGAATGGACAGAATTTAGCAGTGGATTCAATAGAAGAGGCAGTATGAGAGGTGGTTAAGGGTTTAAGCTCTGAGGTCACGCAGGCCTGACCTCAAAGCCAGGCTCTTTGTTGACAGAAAGTTACTGAACTACTCTAAATCTCTGGTTTCTTATCTGTAAAATGGGAGATAGTAATAGTACCTATCTCATAGGATTGTTAGAAGGATTATGTTGGTGCCTTAAATATCTAGCACAGAGCCCATTATAAATGCCCCACAAGTATTAGCTGCGTTTTTTTAAAACAGTCATATTGAGATATAATTCACATACCATACAATTATTACAGTGTACAAGTCAGTTTTTTTTTTAGTATATTCACTAGGCTGTGCAACCATCACCACTATCTAATTCCAGAACATTTTTATCACCACAAGAAGAAACCTCATGAAACTAGACTTTTGGTGGTGAACATGATGCACTCTATACAGAAGCTGAAATATAATAATGTATGCCTGAAATTTATACAACGTTATAAACCAATGTGACCTCAATAAAATAATTTAAAAAAAAAGAATTAAAAGAAACCTCATACCCATTAACAGTCACTCCCATTCCTCCTTTCCCCCAGCCTCTAGCAGTCACTAATCTACTTTCTATCTCTATGGATTTGCCTATATGATTTCATATAAATGGAATCATACAAGGGTGTCCTTTTGTGTCCAGCTTCTTTCACTTAGCATAAGGTTTTCTTTTTCTTTTTTTTTTTTCTTGTTTATTGCAGTAACATTGGTTTATAACATTGTATAAATTTCAGGTGTACATCATTATACTTCTATTTCTGCATAGATTACATCATGTTCACCACCCAAATACTAATTACAACCCATCACCACACACGTAGCATAAGGTTTTCAAGGTTCATCTGTGTTGGCAGCGCATGTTAGAATTTCATTCCTTTTTATCGCCAAATAATATTCTCTTGTATAGAAACACCACATTATGTTTATCCATTCATCAGTTGATGGCCATTTGAGTTGTTTCCGCTTTTTGGCTGTTACGAAGAATGCTGCTTTGAACATTCATTTACAAGTTTTTGTGGACATATATTTTCATTTCTCTTGGCTGTATACCTGGGAGTGGAATTACTAGGTCATATGGTATATCTGTGTTTAATCTTTTGAGGCCAGACTGTTTTCCAAAGTGACTATGCCATTTTATGTTTCCACCAGCAACGTATGAGGGTTCCAATTTCTCCACATCTTTGCCAATACTTGTTGTCTGTCATTGCCATCCTGGTGGGTGTGAAGTGGTGTCTCATGGTTTTGATTTGCATTTCCCTAATGATTAATTATTTTGAGCATCTTTTCATGTGCTTATTAGCTATTTCTATATCTTCTTTAGAGAAATGTCTATTCAAATCCTTTGCATATTTTTTAATTGGGTTGTCTTTTATTTTTGAGTTATAGGAGTTCTTTATATATATATTTTAGATATAATTCCCTTATCAGATACATGATTTGCAAACATTTTCTCCCCATTCTGTGGGTTGTCTTTTCACTTTCTTTATGGTATCATTGGCAACTCAAAATTTTAAATTTTGATATAGTCTAATTTATCTATTTTTTGTTTTGTCACTTGTGCTTTTGGTCTGTATTACTATTATTCTTTAAGGGATGGTTGATTATGCCTTGGGTTTAAGATTCATTAACAGAGGGAATGGTGGTGCCATTAATAGGGCTGCAGAATGCAGAAGAGAAGGGTGGGTGTTCCAGGGAAGTGCTTGGGCAACAGAAGGCAGTGAATTCCCTTTTGGATATGCTGAGTTTAAGGTACAGAGGGGAGAAGCAGAGAAAGAGACACTGAGTGGACAGCTGGAAATATAGGTCTGGAGGAAAGGAAAGAGCTCTGGAGATGAAAAAGAAAGGAGAATTGGGAGGCATCCTCTTAAGAGTGACAAGTGAAGGTACAGAAGTAGATGAAATCTACCCCCAAGGGGACAGCATTTAAAGGAAAAGAAAAAGGGAACCTAAAACAGCTCCCTGAAGATTATCGACATGATTTGGAGGAGTGTTTGGAGGAAAAAACAGAATAGCACCGTATCACAGGGCCAAGGGAACATGTGTCAAGGAGGGGGAGGATGTGACTGGCAGTGTCACACAAGGAGTGGAATGGGGAGAACAAGGGGGAGGTGAGGGAAGAGCGAGACTTGGTAGCGAGGAGGTCATTGATGGCCTTTAACAGGGCGGTGGGGTTGCAAATCTGAACTGCGGGTGTCAGTGGGCGGGAAGTTAGCATCAGGAAATATGAAGTAGTTTTAAAAAAAGGAGAAAATGGAATAGCTTAAAAGAAGTGCAGAGTGATAAAAGGTTTTTATTTTTGTTTTGTTTTTGAAGATTAGGGGTTGAGTGTTTTGTGGGCTAAGGGGAAGGAGAGATGAAAGATTCAGTGGGAGGGATTAACTGATGGGCCAAAGTCTTAGTATAGATGGGAGGGACTGTGAGTGATGAGCGGAAGACTTAATCTTTTCAAATTCATTTCACCACAGCCCTTTTTTTTTGGAGGCAGCTTTCCTAACATGCTTTAGTACAGTACAGGCACCAGTTTGGGCAGTGATGATCTAGTCTAAGAGCATCTCAAGGTCAGGGACCTTATTCATCTCTGAGGTATAGCCCTGGAACACAATAGTTATGATCATGCTAAGTGGGTGGACAAAGTAAGGAAAGGTCCTGTCACCCACATAAAGGAGGTGAAGTGGTAAGAATGGATGCAGGTAATGAGGAGAGAAGGTGAAGCTCACAGTCAGTGGCCTCCATCCCATCAGTTGAGTGGGAGACGAGTTGACTGCTAAGAGCAAGTGGGGTGGGGTCCCACTGTCAGCCTTGTCTGCCCTCATTCTTTTACATGTTATTTTCATGATATACATAGGACGTGAATTCTTTGTCACTGTAAACATTGGAGCAGCACATTGCTGTTGATTTTTAACACCATTTTTTGTTTCCCAGTTAATGCTCTCTGAGTGGTTAATTGACGTCCCTTCAGATTTGGGGCAGGAATGGATTGTGGTCGTGTGCCCTGTTGGAAAAAGAGCCCTTATCGTAGCCTCCAGGGTGAGTAGCAGCCTCCTGCTCCCTACACCAGCATGCCTGGTCATAGCAGGAGGCATTCTTTGTGCTCCATATTCCTTATCTGCCACAGCAGCTGTGCCTGGCCTGGGGATTAAAACACTTTCCCGCAGAAGGGATTTGTTGAGAGCCATCTTTGGGCTGATGACACCTCTGCGGAATGTGGAAGCAGAAGGTGAGGAGACCTTGATGACTATGAAAATGGTAACTTTCTTTCCACACAGGGTTCTACCAGCGCCTACACCAAGAGTGGTTATTGTGTCAACAGGTTTTCTTCCCTTCTGCCAGGAGGCAATAGGCGAAACTCAACAACAGCAAAAGGTACCTACAAAAAATTGTCCATTGTTAAGTTTTATAATCAGTAAAAGACAATGTAAGTTGCTTGATTTAGTTCTTTTAAAGACCCACTTTGAAAGCATACCTTTGAAACTGCACATAGACACCATCCTACCCACGGGACTCAGGCCCTCTCCTTCAAGGTCAGGCCTCCTCAGTTGCAGAATAGATGCAGCCCTGTGAGGCCTGCTGGGTAATAAATCCCTGAATTAAGGTCAACACACCTTTCCCATGGACTTCTATTACAAAGTGACAAGTGTAGCTTTTTGAGGAAAGCTCTCTCAGAATCCCGAGTGTAACGTACAGTAAGCTGTTGCAGGGGCTTCCCTGCCAAATTCCCTTTTCTCCTTTATCGTTGTCCTGACCTTAGCTTCTCCCTCCCACCTGGACCCCGCTGAGGAGACTGAGATCATGGAGGTTAAATAACTTGCCCACGGTCAGTCAGCGAGGAAGTGGCAGAGCTGGGCCTGAACCCTGCAGTCTTCCCTGCGTGCTCAGGCTCCCTTGGTGGTTCTGTGTGTCCTTGGTACTGAGCCCAGACTCCTCCTCTTTTGAGTTTAGAGCCCATCACGTGCCGGCTCTGGCCCACCCATCCTCATTCTTTCCCCTACTCTCCATACTCCCGCTTAGCTCTGTTCAGTTGGCTTGCTTCCTTGCTCCCCACATGGGCCCAGTTCATTCTACCTCTGGGCCTTTGCTCATGCCACTTCAGTACTCCAGCCCAAAATGCCTTCCCCCCTCCCCTCTGCCCTGTTGTTTTAGTCCTCTGATCCCAGAAGACTCTGTTCATATCCCATTTCTTCCATGAAGCATTTCCTGCTGCTCCAGTCTCCTTTTTCTGGAACTCCTATTGCTCTTAGTTTGTGCTGTACAATTCAGCTCTTGGTTCTTTCCTCTGTAACATATCTCCTTAACTGGATTGTAACTTCCTTAAAGGCAAGGACTACTTATAGTTAATATTTCCTACAGAACATAGTACCTATAATAGGAACTCAAAAAGTAGTTGTAAACTAAAATGGAAGATTACTTGCTTTCAAACTTCAGCTTCTCTAAGGTGAGTAAATGTCCCAATTTATCTAAAAGTTCAGAATTCCTGCTTGGCTTAAGGGTTGTCTTGATCCGTCTTGTGCTGTCCTACCTCAAGTCACTGTTAAGCTGCACCACGTGGCCATAAAGGGCCATGGAGAACTTTCTTCCTGATGAATCCTTAGTCCTTAGTGCTGCTGCTCACTGCAAGCCCCGAGGATTGTTGGACTCAGTTCCCAAGCCCCTAAGATGGGGCTCACTAGATTGTGGTGGAGGGAGCCCTGAGTGGAAGGGGAACCCTGTGCTGACTTCCTGCTTCTATCCCAGACTACACAATTCTGGACTGCATTTACAGTGAGGTGAACCAGACATACTACGTTCTGGACGTGATGTGCTGGCGGGGACACCCTTTTTATGACTGCCAGGTAAGGACTGATACTTCTCTCATGTCTTCTCCTGTTTCTTCCTCTCCTCCCGGGAAAGTGGCTCAGCATGTGGGTTTGGTACGTGACCAACTTCTTGGTGTATACAGGATGTGGTGTATCAAGAACATTATCTAATGTTCCTTGCATCTTTGAGTGTTTAAATTAGCTTCATTTTTAAAAAAGAAGTAGGAGGAACTAAGAGAAGTATAGCAGTTCTTGAGGGGAGGAAAGAGAGAAACAGAGCAGAGGGGTAGCCTGGGATTCTGTAGGAGCTAAAACCGCCCCCTCCCCTCTCCAGAGTCGGGGAGGATTGCTGGCAGGGAAGATTGTGGGCGAAGGGGATACCACCTTGTGCAGGCGGCACAAAGGAGAGAAGGTGGAATGTCAGGCACCATCAAATAGACTCCTGCCACCTCCACTCCTTCACCAACCACATCCTGACCCTGAAAATGGCAGTGCCTCCTTGGTGTGACGCTAAAGCCTCAAATCTCTGAGGGGCCAGCTCTGGAAGGAGATTTTCCAAGAGAGGGGAGGCCCCAGTATTCTCCACTCAATTTTCACCTTCCCCCAACGTTTTTCTCAGATTGGCGATTCTTACACGAGTGACAGTAGCAGTCATCAGAGAGAGGCTAGGTCAGCCCCACAGGCTCTGTCTCTGTTCCCAATGCTCCCCCATCATTGTCCCAGGTTTATAGTGGTGTTTTTTTTTGTGCTTCCTGTCAATTAGTTTATCACAATGGTTCTCTAAGTGTGGCCTCAGAAAGTTGTTAGAAATGCAAATTCTCAGACCTCCTGAATTAGAAACTGTGGGGGTGGGCCTTATGTTTTAACAAGCCTCCACGGGATCCTCATGCAGGCCCACATGTGAGAATCACAGGTTATCACCATAGGCTGCTTCTTTCCAAAACCATTACTCCAAGCTAGGTTTCCAAATCATGCTAGGTAGTGGTACGTCAGAATTCTAACATGCACCTCATTCAAACAATAATAGCCAAGACTTGCATTGCTAAGCACGTTGTTAGCATTATCTCATTGAATCCCTTACAACAATTCTATAAGGTAAGTACTACTATTATTCCTCATCATATAGGTATGGAAGCCGAGAGCCACAGATGTTAAGTACCTTGCTCAAGTGCAGGGTCTAGCCTAAAACTCAGAACTCATAAACTCAATCCAGAACATATTTTCCTTTACTTCTGTTGAAGGATGTTTCATAATGTGCATTCACAAACCTATAAATTTGGTAACTAAAACCTCTGATATTTTTATAATATAAAGAAAAAACTGTTTTTTGTTTGTTTGTTTGTTTTGTGAGGAGATCAGCCCTGTGCTAACATCTGCCAATCCTCCTCTTTTTTTGCTGAGGAAGACTGGCCCTGGGCCAACATCCGTGCCCATCTTCCTCCACTTTATATGGGACGCCGCCACAACATGGCTCGACAAGCAGTGTGTCAGTGCGCGCCCAGGATCCGAACCTGCGAACCCCGGGCCACCGCAGTGGAGCGCACGCACTTAACTGTTTGCACCACCGGGCCGGCCCCCTGTTTGTTTGTTTTTTTTTGTGAGGAAGATCAGCCCTGAGCTAACATCCATGCCAATCCTCCTTTTTTTGCTGAGGAAGACCAGCTCTGAGCTAACATCTGTGTCCATCTTCCTCCACTTTATATGGGATGCCGCCACAGGATGGCCTGACAAGTGGTGCATCGGTGCGCGTCCGGGATCAGAACCTGGGCCACCAGCAGCGAAGCGCGTGCACTTAACGGCTACACCATGGGGCCGGCCCTGTTTTTTTCCTTTAATTTCCAAAAGTAAAATAATTTAAAACAAAGAAAAGGCCCTAAATAACTACAGAAGGGTACATATCAGTAATTCAGAGAATAAAGAAGTTTATGAGAAGTTACAACTATATAGTAGTTTCTAATCCTCGGGATTAAAATAAAACAAAGGTTAACATAACATGCTTTGGAGTTGGAGAGTCTTGGGTCCCACAGTATTTTTCTTGTGCACCTGGGCAAGTGACATAATTTCTCTGAGCCTCGGAGTCTTCACTTGTAAAAGGAGACAATGATACTATAACTCTCAGAGGGTGGTTGAGGATTAATAAGGTTATATGTGTAAAGTCCTTAGCATGGAGCCTGACACATAGTAGGCCTTCAGTGATAAATGTTGGCTTTACTGCTATTAATAATCCTATTGGATTTCAAGAAAAATATCTTCAAAGATTTTATAAACATCTTCCTGACTTTATGGCAGTGTTTTCAGGGAAAAGAACGTAATGATAGAAGGGCTTAGGTCTTCATAAATCAGGTGGCTATTTAGAATGGGGTGTTTTTGTTCATATTATAGTTTGAGACGAGCAGTATTCATCTTTCTTTTCCCCTTCTCTGTGTCAGACTGATTTCCGATTCTACTGGATGCATTCAAAGTTACCAGAAGAAGAAGGACTGGGAGAGAAGACCAAGCTCAATCCCGTAAGGCCTGGTGTTAGGATTGCAGAGTTCTTTGTGGGGATTGGTTTGGATTGGTCCATTATCTAAATATAATCATTATGAATGAAATTTTCTTTTTTTTGAGGCAACATGGTATAATGGGAAGAGTATGAGCCTAACAGTCATCTAGATCTGAATTCCAGTTTTGGCTTTAACAATTAGTAGGTTAAGTTAATAACCTTGCCTAGCTTTAGCTTCTTCATCTGTATAGTAGGGTTAATAACACCTACTTTACAGGATTGTTCTAAGAACCAAATGATATAAATATGCAAGTCTTCCTAGCAGAATACTTATGGTAGGCACTCAGTAAATAGTGGTAGATATAAAATGCTGATAACTGCTTTTATTAATAACGCTATTTAGAATTCTAATACAGTGGTTCTCAAACTGTAGCATGCATCAGCAGCACCTGGAAGCTTGGTAAAACATAGCCTCCTGGGCCTCATCCCCAGAGTTTCTGATTCAGTAGGTCTAGGGTGAAGCCTGAGAGTTTGTATTTCTAACAAGTTCCCCAGTAATGCTGATACTGCTGGTCTGTGGACCACACTTTGAGAACCTCTGCTCTTGTATCTGAGCTGAGAGTGTCCTCATCTACTCAGTCCTCTCATTTTATAGATGAGAATGTAGGCTCAGAGAGGGGACTGCCTTCCCCAGATCTCACAGTCCAGGGTGATAGCCCAAGTGTCTTGGCTATCCCCTCAGTGATTTAAATGTGTGACAGCTATTTTCAGGGCATTTTATTAGCTAAGCCCTGCAGATTGGCATTTGCTTGGATTGCTTACAAATTTTTTAAAGGCAGTTGGATAACCAGCTACAGGACAATAAATGGGGTCTCTACTTCCAGTGATGTTATCAATAGAGTCCTGGAAGAACATGCATTGAAGAGGGGGACCATGGGGGCTGCTCTCTCTGACATGCTGTTCTAATTGTATTATCTCATTGAATCTGCACAACAAGCCTATGAAGTCGATACTTTTTTTTTTTTTTTGGTGAGGAAGATTGGCCCTGAGCTAACATCCATTGCCAATATTCCTCTTTTTGCTGAGGAAGATTAGCCCTGAGCTAACATCTGTGCCCATCTTCCTCTATTTTGTATATGGGATGCTGCCACAGCATGGTTTGATGAGCGGTGTATAGGTCCGTGCCCAGAATCCGAACCTCTGAACCCCAGGCCGCCGACGTGGAGCACATGAACTTAACCATTACGCCACCAGGCTGGCCCCTGAAGTCGGTGCTTTTATTACCCCATTTTACAGATGGGAACACGGAGGCATATGGAGATTAAAGATTTTATTTATTTATTTTTTTCCCCCAAAGCCCCAGTAGATAGTTGTGTGTCACAGCTGCACATCCTTCTAGTTGCTGTATGTGGGACGCGGCCTCAGCATGGCCGGAGAAGCAGCGCGTCGGTGCGCGCCCGGGATCCGAACCCGGGTCGCCAGCAGTGGAGCGCGCTCACTTAACCACCAAGCCACGGGGCCGGCCCGCATATGGAGATTAAATGATTGTCAGACCTGAGATTCAAACCCAGGCAATCTCACTTCAGAGTTTATAGTCCTAATCACTGTGTTATACTGCTTCAGTCTAAAAATCCTTGCTGGTATGAAAGGGGCTTCACTAGCCCTTCATTAGCGGCAACTGTCACAGGGCTGGGAGAATAACATACAGTCCCTAAACCTAGCACAGGACAGTGGTTGTCAGTCCTGACTGCATGTTAAAATCAATTGGAGAGCTTAAAAAAAATGCCTGGGCCCCACCCCAGACCAGTTCAGTCATAATCTCAGGGTGAGGCCTGGGCATCAGTAATTTTTAAGAGTCTCCCAGATGGTTCTTGTGTATAAAGCGAGGTTGAGAACCACTGACCTGTAATTCAGAGGGTAGGTGGAGGGGAGAGGGTGGGTAAGGATGAGACTGAAAACTTTTCTTCTTTGATATAGCTTTTTAATCGCTGGAACCAATATTATTTGTAACATGTACTAATTCTTTGTTCTAATTTATATTTTAGTTTAAATTTGTAGGGCTAAAGAATTTCCCTTGTACCCCTGAGAGCCTGTGTAAGGTGCTGTCTATGGATTTCCCTTTTGAGGTAACAAAATCATTGTCTTTATTGCTGTGATGTGCTTGTCGGACACAGGGAAACTTGGTTACACGGACTCTTAAGAGATCTTCTGACTTTGCCACATCAAAGTATCAGAAAAGGGCTGAAAGCTGATTCCTGGGAAAGGATATGCTGGCTGCCCTTCAGAACCTCAGCTCCACCCTAATAGATAAGTCAGAATGCCGGAGCTGGAAGGGCCCTGAAAGGAAAGCTCATCTAATTCTCTCATTTTACAGATGGAGAAACTGAGGTCCAGAGAGGGGCGAGGTTTCCATTCCTAGGTCCTTTTTGTGTGCCTCTTTTTGCTACAAACCTGAGAACCAGGCCCCTTGTTTGAATGCCATGGCTGGTTGTAAAGTAAAGGGGCTTCTGTGACTGACAGACCACAAGAGTGTGAATTCCTGATCCTTCCTCCAAAGAGGAAATGGTCCCTGGGGATGGCAGTGCTTGCTAAGCAGTGGCTGGGAATAGGGTGACCAACTCATCCCAGTTTGTCCTGGACTTTTCCGGTCTTAACGCTGAAAGTCTCATGTCCCCTGAAGCTCCTCAGCCCTGGGCAGTCTTTTGTCATCCTCAGATTCTGCAGTTACCCTCTCCAAGCTCAACAAGCAGACTTTCCCTTGCCCATTATACCCTTTAAAATTCTGCCTAGTCACCCGCAAGTATTTGCTTGAACTGGATATAATTTTGCTAAAAGGATCACAGCTTCCCAAATGAGAAAATGGCAAAGGCTGAGTTGTCTTCATTTCTGGGAGTCAATTAAGAAAGTGGTAAGAACACCATCTTTATTTATAAACCTTATGCCCCAGTGACAATAAATGCTTTTTAGAGATGAGTCACTGAATCATGGAAAAGAAAATGTGGGACTGTAGGAGGTCTTCCCGTTGAGAAAAACTGAGCTTCCCAGAACATAGCTCACAAACAATTTAGGGGGAGGTTTAGGCAGCCAACAATGGTGTGGGAAGCAAGGCTTCTTGACAGCCTGTTGCCCCTGTGCTCAGCAGTTCAGCATCTCGGAGGAGCCTGTCCAGTTCCCCTGCTTTGTTCCCTGTGTGGAGCACATGCCCCACTACAGACACATCTGGGTGGTGGAAAGTGCACGGGATTTGGGGACAGAAAACCTGGGTTCGAGTTGAATTTCTGCTTCACACTCACTGTGTTTTTTGGGAGGCCCCCAGAACTCCATGAGCCTGAGCAGCCCATCTCTCAAATGCCCTCATGGTGGGTAAGAGGGTGAAACCCTGGGCAGGAAAGCACCCTATAAACAGGAAAGTGCTATTTATGTTTTTACTTTCTAAAGTTAAGTTTTTCTAGGCCATTTCTTCATTTAAAGATATTGCATGTGTGAGAAATGGGGACTCTTTTTCCTCTGGCAGTGACCCAGCAAAAGGAGTTGGACCACAAGAGCTGCCCCTGTGTGTATAGGCTCTCCTGGGAACATGTGGCCGCAGAAGTCATTTTGATCCCTGGTTTCCCCTCTTGTAGGTAGACGGACTTCTCTTCTACCACAAGCAGACCCACTATAGCCCTGGAAGCACTCCTCTGGTGGGCTGGCTGCGCCCATACATGGTGTCAGATGTTCTTGGAGTAGCTGTGCCATCTGGCCCACTGACCACCAAGCCAGAATATGCTGGGCAACAGCTCCAGCAGATTATTGAGCACAAGAGGAGCCAGAAGGAGGGCTTGAAGGAGAAACTCACACACAAGTCCTCTGAGAACGGACAGTATGAGTTGGAGCACCTGTCTACCCCTAGGCTGAAGAGCCTTCCCCATACCCCAGACCACCCTAGTAGCCTCATGGAGAACTAAAGAGGGCAGCCTCCTTTGGGAGTCACAGGACCGTGCTTGGTCCCAGAAGGAAGGCTGGGGAGGAGGGCAGTGACAACAGGTGACTTCGTTTTAGAGTGGACTTTCCAAAGCCACTCCAGCTGGAAACAGATTATCTCCTACCTGAAATGCTGGCTCAAACAGTTGGGGGATGTTCCCAGATTGGGTGGTGGTTGGATTTGAGCAGTAACTCCTATGAAAAGTGTATCCCAGATCCACAGTGTAAATATATGTAATTCTTAAGATAGAAGTTGTTTGTGATTCTTAAACTTTAGATAGTCATGAATCTCCCCCACCTTCCCCCCAGGCTACCTAAACCATGACTGTTCAAGTCTTGGCCCATTTCACTGTGTTTTTAGCACTTAAGCATTCTGCTGACTTTCCAGTTGCTGCTGTTGGTAACGTCATTTTCTAAAAGGTCTTACCAGGAACTGCAGTTCTTGGTATTTGAATATGTTCCCTCTTCTGAGAAGACAAGTGTGATTTTCTTTGGTTTAGACACTGCCAGAAATAAAATGCAAATGGAGTTCATTCACTACTTCAACAAATGTTTGAGCACCTTCCAGAAGATAAGCCTTGTGCTAGGCCCCTGTTATGTAGAGTGGGTTATGGAGATGGACAGGACTTGATCTCTGCCCTTGAGGAGCTCACGATCCAGTGAGAAAATAAACCCACCAGCATATAGAGTATGTCAAGATGGTGAGATGATTGCTTTAGTGCAGAAAGATGCCTAGAGCGTCGGGGCGAGAAGAGCAGAGTAAGGTTTCACAGAGGAGGTCAGAGCTGGGCTGAGGCTCAGAGGAGGGACAGAAAGGTGCTCTGCAGATGAGGATGGGGGAAGTTTCTCTCAGAGGTGGGAGGGTGTGTAGCTGCACTCCTCCAGAGCAGGGGAGAACTTGCTCTGGGACCTGAGGTAGGTTCAGCATGGCTCAAGTGTAAAGCAGGATTAGAGAGCTATGGGAGAGGAGGCTGGAGAGAGAGATGGGCCTCATTGTGAAGGGTCTGTGTGTTATGCAGAGCTTTTAGATTTTATGCCATGGGTGAAAGGGAGCCAATGAAGAGCTTTGAGCAGGCAAGATCCATTCAGATTTGTGAACTAGAGCTCTTTGGCAGCTGTGGGAGTGGAAGATGGTGTCTAAAACTAACCAATTAGTTTCTGCTCTGTGTTCAGGAAATGTGTCCCATTTCCCTTGGCCTCAATCTGCTCCCCACACTGCTTTCCACCTTTCTAGGACTTCTCTTATTGGATGAAAGGACTTCACTATTCCACTCCAGTAGTACTAGTATCCTGTCCAGGTCAGATCTTGTCTGACATGCGGTTCTTCTTTTGTGTTGATTAATTCTGGGAACAAATCCGGGCAGAAGTTGTGGTTAAGCAGAGCCTGATTACACAAATTCAGCATACCAGTGGAACTAGCCTCAGTGTTGGGCTCTTAGAGAGCTGCTCAAGCAGACTCTGTAAAATGGAAAAAGGAAGAAACCCCCATCACCCCCACCCAGTTATGATCCTGCTGGCTGCAGATTTAAGCATGCCTACATCAATAAGCTCTTTCCTGAATTTAGGTCAATTCTGCAATAGGAACATTGTGTTCCTCTTGCCAAGAAGCATGTTGTAGGCTGCCTAGACATTTAGTCTCTGATGATCTTCTGAATGCTCTAGTCTGTGCTCTCAGCAGCCAACTGTATCATTTCAGGAGCTGTGCATGCTAGTATCAGTAGAGCCTTGGCTGGGCTCTGCCCAGAAATAATCAGTCTGGAAGGATTACTTCCCCAAAGGACACTCTCTGGGGACAGGTGCCTGAGTCAAAGTACATATCAGCCAAATTTATCACCACACACAACTTGATATTGTTGAATGATAGCTTGAAGGATGTAGCTCAGAGGAGTCCCCCTTATATTCTGAACTCGGGAGCCACTATTACTAACCACTGAATAGATCTGAATAATCTTCTGGTCATATTTCTTTGTGAGTTATAAAACTACCTCCTGCCACCTGTTTCAAAGATGGTTGTGTTATAGGTTGCTATGATTGGATATTAGGTGTTATAGGTTGCTGTGATTGGATATTAGTTTTGTGGAATTAACTCTTCCCCATGCAGTATGGTCTGGTGGGACTGTAATCTGGGGGAACTGCCCTCCTTTGCCAAGTGTCAGGCTTATGACTCAAGATGGGCCAATCCCATGCTCCTCACCAAGAATCTGTGTCCTGAGCAGAGGAACAAAGAGAGTGAATTAGTTGGAATTCATTTATTTTGCCTACAGAAAGGCAGGAGGTGTTTCTTGTTCTTGCTATGATACCTGAGAGCATCCAGTAAATTCCATCTTGCTTAAATTAGCCAGAGCTGATTTCTGCGCTGGCAACCAAAGAATCCTAACTGATACCATTGCCCAGTGTGTCCTACACTGCTTGCCTTGGCTGGAGGGCCAGCTTGGCATGAGTTAGCAAGGGACTACTAATTGAGATCACCTGTTTCATCTCAAGTGCCACTGGAACCCGTGTACCTAAAGCAGACCAGGCTTTTCAACCAGTTGATGCAAAATAAGTAGTCTTGGTTGTTTCAGTGTTAACTCAGAAAAGCCATGCTGGGTTCGCCTTCATGCAAGAGTTGGGTGTTCACCTGATCCACTTGTGTTTGGCAGTGATTTCTCTACATTCACTGTTTGTCCACTAGCTCACTTTTCGTTCATGTCTCAACCCACTGAAATCTGACTTTTGTTCTTACCACTTCAAGTGCTCTCATCAAGGGACTGGTGGTCTCCTGTTTTCCAAATCTAAGGGACATTTCCCAGGCTTTCTCTTACCTGATTTCAGCTGCCATGTATGTGCTGATGCCTTCCCTGAGCTCCAGCCCTGTATATATATGTAACTACATACCAGTCAATCTCCCAGTCACGTCAAACTCAGCATGTCCCAAACTGAATCCTCCTCAGTCCCCCTCAATCATGCTCTTCCTGAGATTCTTGTCCTTGTTAATTATATATAGTCACCCAAGCTAGGAACCTAGGAATCATGCTGATGATTCCTGTCCATTTGTTACCTTTCACAGCTAGTCAGCATGTCCTTTAAATCCCACCTCTCTCTTCTCCATTTCCTCTAAGACCTAAGGCCTTAATTCAAGTCTTTATCATTCCTCTCCTGCAGTACTGCCAGAGTCTCCTATCCATTTTCCCTGCCACCAGTATTTCCCTCCACTCTTAATCTATCCCTGCCACAACAACTGGCAGAGTGATCCTTTCTAAAAATGCAAATCTGATCATGTTACTTCAGAGACTTCCCATTGCCTACAAGGTAATGTGAAGTTTCTTGGCCTGCCATGCAAGTTTCTTCATGACCTGGCCTTAGTGTATCTGTCCAGTCTCATAAATTACCTTGCTTCCTTTGCTGCTTCCTCTCCAGCCATGCTGCTTTACAGTTCCCTGTACAAACACATGCATTTCATACTTTCCCCCCCACACACCATCCCTCCACCTTCTGATTTCATTCACCTGCTGAATATACCTACTCATCTTTGGAAAACTCCATTCAACAGATACCTATTTGAACCTTTACGTCTCCAGGTAGAATTAGCCATTCTCATCTTTGTGCCCTCCTCATCCCATTCATATCTATTTCCCAAAGTTAGGGATAGTCCATAAGACCACTCTTTGGTTTGATAATTTACCAGAAGGACTCACAGAACTCACTGAAGGCTGTTATACTCACGATTACAGTTTATCACAGTGAAAGGAAACAGATTAAAGCCAGCCAAGGGAAGAAATGCATGGGCCAGAGTACAGGAAATTTACAAACGTGGCTCTTCCAGTTGTCCTCTCCAAGTTGTGGACGGCATTAACTTTCCTGGTAACTGTGTGTGACAATACTCATGGAGTATTGCCAACCAGAGAATCTCACCTGAGCCTTGCTGTCAGAGTTTTTATTGGGGCTTGGTTACCTAAACCTGGTTGGCTGACCTCAGTCTCTAGCCCCTCCAGAGGTCTAGCTGATAACACATGATCCTCTCCTTCACCCCTAATCACACTGCTGGACTATCTGGTGTGGACAAAGACCCCCAAGTAAACAAAGACACTTATTAGGCAGGACATTCCAAGGGCTTAGAGGTTACTTCCCAGGAGCCAAAGGCAAAGGCCAACCTTTCTTTGTGCAAGGTTAAATTCTTTACTACATACTCCCTCTATTAGATTGCAAACTCTCTGAGGTCAGGGACCTGATCTTATTCATCTTTAGATCCCCAGTGCCTGGCATTATGCCTGGCATTTGTTGTATCAATAAATGTTGGTTGAGTGAATGAAGTGATGAGCGCTCTGGAGGAGAGCCCCTCTCCTCTCTGCTGCACAGAGGAGTGACCCTGGAGAGAAGGCTGAATGGTGTGTGGCGGACTGCTAACAGGTGGCTGGACATGCTGCAGACTTCTAAGAATAAGAACTATATTTAGTTCTGTGACTGTGATTAGGATAGCCTAAAAACTTCTCACTACGTACACTGGAGGAGGGAAAGACACAATCTTCCTAGCTACAGACTTCCTTTCTAATAAGGAAATCCCACAATATACTTTTTTTAGCAAATGTGGTCTTTTGTTTTATGCCTTCTGATATGTAGGGCGGGAAAAGTAGACAAAAGCTTTGAGATGTTAGCCAGAGTATGACTGCTTGCTTTGGTAAGATGAGCTGATTTTTGAGTCCCACCCTGTCTTGGGATTCTGTGATTATACTCAATCTTTAAATCAAAGAAGAACCAAATTAATTTTAAAATTTTGTTTCCCCATCACGTCCTGAGAGGTTTGGTCTTGGACCTTGATTTAATTGTGATTCACCCCCACCGCAACACCCCCCCAACCTCAGAGGGTCCACCATCCAATGACAAGGCGGAGGTGAAGAAGAGAGGGCCTGGGCGAGCTGGGAGGCTGGCAGTAGTGAAGGTAAATTAAGAATGGCCTCAGGTTGGGCTGCCCATGGCACAGTGGTTAAGTTTGTGCGCTCTGCTTCAGCAGCCCGGGTTTGTGGGCCTGGATCCCGGGTGCGGACCTGCACTACTCATCAACCATGCTGTGGCGGCAACCCACATACAAAATAGAAGAGTACTGGCACAGATGTTAGCTCAGGGCTCACCTTCCTCAAGCAAAAAAAGAGGAAGACTGGGGCCGGCCCAGTGGCGTAGTGGTTGAGTTCGCACGCTCCGCTTCAGCAGCCCAGGGTTCACAGGTGCAGATCCTGGGCGTGGACCTACGCACGCACTGTTTATCAAGCCATGCT